TCATCAATCAATCTTTTCATTTATGTGATAGGCCTGCATTTAAAATGAATATTTACCACAAATTAAAGGTATCTTATATTATTAGATATATTATTATAAAACATGCTTTAGTTAAGGAGTTATTGATACTTTAAGTGCAAAATGATGATATAAAACCATGATAAAAATACACTTTTAAGTACTAATCAATTATAGTCTCTAATTTTTAAAATTTATTTATAATCAAGTTATACTTAATTAGTTATCCCAGTTTAAAATCTGACTAATGATTTTTATATTTGTCACTCATTAGGTTTTCTAATAAGTTAACCCAAATATAAATCATAACCTAAATAAAATGGGATTAAATAAATTAATTTATTATCAATTCATCGATTTATATTTGAAGATTAAGTACAATGTTTAACAATCTCTCATGCTCCCTTAAATATTAAGAAAGTTATAAGTGTTTTGACTTAACTTTTGAGTAACTAGTTTCTTAGTATAATTATTATCCCTTCATTCATAATATTTTGATTTAAACATTATAGCATGAATTGTGTTTACTCTATCAAATTATATTAGTTTTCAATATTATAGTTATTGATTATTTGGATAAGATTTGAAACTCTTTTTAAATTTTATTTCACATTGTGCTAGGAAATATAATCAATATTATTTAAAAATATATAAAATATTTCCCTTAATTCATCCAAGATTATAAATCTTCCATAGATTACTTAAATACCTTTATGTAGTTCAAACATAATTTTTTCTCATTTTTTACATCTGATTAAGACAACATTTAATAGAATTAAAACATAACATTTCTTATATAACATAACTTAGTGATCTTAAGCTCAAGGATGACTTACACAACCATCAGGTGAGCATTTTTAGAGAAACAATTGATCTATTCATATGAAATTTTCATATGGGTTAGTTTAGTGTCTGTGTCATCTAACAAGCACCTACATATTAATTTTTGGTATCCCTTATATCTCAAAATTTTAAAACAATTACTTTTTTCACAAAGAAAAGAATATAATATGTGTTAGTCTCAACGACTCTAATTAATATTAAGTCTTAATAGAGTATTAACCAGAAACATTTAAAAACAATGATTTAATATAATATGAATCATATAATTATAATAAATTTATAATTTTTTTTATAAAATATTTTTTTATAGGACTTTATATTTACTCTAGTTTAATTAATCAAATATTTGATAAATATTAAAGATAAATAAACTTTTATTTATAGTTAAATATGTTTACATGAACAAAATCAATGTCATATACAATCAATCAAATAACTACAAGGCATATATATTAGCAATCTCACACTTGCACTAAAGCCAATTACTCATGTATCAAATATAATATTTCTCTACTTGACCATAATGCTTTTACTGTGACAGTGGCTTAGCAAAGAGACCTATAAGATTCTTTTCATTAGGTATTCACTCTTTATTTATATCTTTTTTTTCTATGATTCTATAATGAAATGAAATTATTTAAGTATATTTTTATATTATTGATGAGAAATGGGCTCCTTTACTTGTGCAATGACTCTATTGTTATCACAGTATAGGGTTACTAGACCAATAATGCTAGAAATAACACTTAGTTTAATGATGAACTTATTAATCAAAACAACCTTTTTTATCCTCTCAAACACAAAGGTGTAGTCAATTTTAGTTGTAGAATTTAATTTAGTCTTTTATTTGAAATTTTTTCAACTTACATCACCATCGTTGAAAATAAAATATAACCATACTAAATTTTTTATTTTCAATATTTTATTGAAAACTAGCATCCAAATAATCATGGACTATTAGTTCATCTCCTCTATAAACTAGAAAAACATTTCTAGTTCTTCTTAAATACTTAAAGAATATTTTTAATTATTTTTTAGTGATCTTTACCTGAATTAGATTGATATCTACTTGTTATGTTCAAAATATAAGTTACATTTATTCTTATACATAACATCACATACATTATGGATTAATCTTATACCTAAGGTATATGAAATCAATTTTTTATTTTATCTCTCTCATTTTTTTGTTTTAAGGTACATATTCTTGGAAAGATGTATGTTATATGAAATCAGTAGCTAAACTATTTTAACATTTTATATATGTATATGGATTAAGATAATGTAAGCAATTTTTTAGATCTCTCTCTATAGATTTTTATTCCTAATATATAGATTGCTTCTCTCGTACCTTTCATGGAGAAATTCTTAGATAATTAGGTTTTCACTAACTAAAGTAAAGAAATGTCGTTTCTTATTAATAATATGTTGTCTACATATAATATTAGAAAAATTAATCTACTCTTACTAGCTTTTTTATAAACACAAGGCTCATTCATATTCTTGATGAGATCAGGTTGTTTGATTATTTCATGAAAACGGATATTCCAACTCTTTAAAGATTGCTTAAGTCCATAAATAGATTTTTATAACTTGTATACTTTATTAGTAAATTATTTAGATTTAAAACTTTTAAGTTATGTTAAACACACATCTTCTTGAAGATTACTATTTAGAAATATAGTTTTGACATCCATTTTTCAAATCTTATAATTACAGTATATAACTATAACAAGTAAAATCCTTATAAATTTTAACATAGTTATAGACAAAAAGGTTT